AATTTGAACGATAGTGCATGGGCTTTGCAACACAAAAGACGCACATCCGCGAATTTTTTCGAAATTTTCAAAATTTCTTGCGAAATTGTTATTTTCACAAACGTCCTCTTCACCATAATTACATAATTAAACGTCCATCTTAACCATGATTCCATGATTACAACGCCAATTTCGCCAGAAGGCTTCTTCTCTCCTCCCTCCGCGTCTTGCTGGTCCAAGCATAAGGACAAGTCAAAAATATGAGTCTCTCGTGGAGAATTTTTAAACGGACCTCGTTAGGTGTTCCTGCCTTAGACCTGTCGGCTTGTCATGGTTTACTATTCGAGCACTGGCGTTTGTGAGCCCATGTAAACCCTCTAGCATCCTTGCTTTGTACTAGCCCTTTACTTTCTGCCTGCTCGAGTAAGAATAGAGATAGATTGCATTGTGCGTTTTGTTGTTTGCGGCCGATCAGAGGCATGTGACCGACGCTCTTTCATTATTTTTAGTTTCATGTGCACTCACGTCCGCACATTTTATTCGTTCGAGGTTGTTTTTGTTCGAGTGTTGGGGCATGTGCTGAACGCGCAGTCACATGGGGTGGCAGCAAGTGAGTGCCCCGTTTTCCCTCCGTCTCCCCTCGCTGCCCCCCCCCCGTTTTTCACATTCACAGCAACATTGAGGGTGCGGCCTCCCTGTGCGTAGTGTGTTCTGCTGTTGGTGCAAACATCGATCGAATTCATAGATGGACCACGTTTTTGTTCCTTGGATAGCTTACGCTTCCCCATCTCATCATGGGTGGCCATCACCTCGGGCGATCAATCTGGGCTCTTTTTATGAATCTCATGAGTGGCACGGTGTGGGCGGTTTTGATTTTAAGTGCAAAACCGACGGCTAGTGCTGACAACGGGGCGGAGACAAAGGCGCTGAGAACGAAGGCCAGAACAGAAAATTATGCAATTTGCACTCAAGTTGAGATATATCTTAGCTTAATTTGCTGCATCGGAAAGCATGAATTTCCTGGGTGGTACTTCATCACTGAGGAAAAATATTCTTCGCTCAATGGGGACATGAATGTGGCTCAAAAATCGTCACGACCTGTTCATCATCAAACCTACACAGTGACATTGTCAGTGAATGAGAGGTAAGCATCAGGCTCAAAAGGCTGAGGCTACTGAAGAATGAACTGAACAGTCGTAATCGCCTGAATCTGCTGGTGATCGAACACAATGGATTTTTCTCGTTTTTCCGATCGACCACTCAATCTGCCTGCTTCATTCCACAGGAGTACCGTCTCACAAGTTGTTATTAAGTAGTTTTGGACGTTGTTACAAACTTCCAATAGATTGCCTCCCTAAACTCATCCCTATTCCCCCTCCTGTTCGTCTGTTCAAGTCAACAAGGAAAAAAAGCGTTCAAGGGAGTCAGCATGGAGAGCGTGCATTTAGGTGAAGAACCACAACCCTAGGAGCGTCAGGCGGGCAGTCATCGTGACGCCGACCGATTTAGTGGTTCTAGGCAATCAGTCATACTTGACGTGCTCCTACAGACAATGCCAATACCCCATTTTTGAAAACTTCCAAGTTTTTCATTGTAATCGCAATGTACTTTGAAGGTTATGTGACCACAGCAATCTCCCCGTTCAACCTTTTCCCCATAACCGCATAGAACGTTGAATTAAGCAGGATAGTAAAGATTTCATTTCTATCTGTTAACAAACTTTGACGTGTAGCATTGCTCGGATAATTACTCCTAAAGAAGGCAAACAAGTAATAATTGCATTTATCCTCTTTTAACTCCATGCTGCTATAATTGGATCGTCTACTTAACAACCTACTTTTAAGTTATGTAGTTACAAAGTCACAGTTGTACATGATTGAAGGAATGGATTACAGCTGACATTGTTATGAGCAGCTTCTCTCAAAATATACTGAGTACTAATTTTTAACTTTTCAGCTATTTAAATGAGTTTCGAGTAGAAGCATGCCCATTGTTCAAGCAGCATCAATGCCAACAGCACCGACCATATACATGTTTTAATTGGCATTTCGCCAATCAAAGGAGACGAAGGTTCGGTTGTCATAATGGGCTTATCATAATGTTGAAAAAACCCGACCCTATCAGAAGGTCAAAATCAATCTGTCTGCAGTAAATTATAAAGAAATACATTTCAATAATCTGTTAAACCAGCGGCTGACAAAATTACGCTGGAATGGAATCACAGAAAAATGAGGTTTTGTTTTGTTTCGTCCTTCATACCTATTTTTTACCAGTATCATTGGACAGCCCTCTTAGAGGCCTGTTAGCCTTCCCTGTTATCATCTCTACATGAATATTGTTATGGTAGCGCTGGTCGTTTGGCTTGGCTGCGCCAGGACTTCGAGTGTTATCCATAAAGGATTTCCGATCAGAGCACCAGCGATTCTTTACATTTGTCTCGGAATTCGAAACGTTCCGTTTTTATTTTTTCGATTTTTTTTTTCATGGTTTTAAAATGTTTCTCGTTTTTATATTATTATTGTCTTAGACATTATTTCCATTACTTGTATACATGTAGTTTATCATACATTGGAAATTGCAAAGCTTTTATCGTTTTGCTTCCACTTTGAAATAGTGGGTTTTTTTGGGCTTTTCAAATTCCTCAATCTCGGAAGAATACTTCCCGCAATTTGTTGGAAGTTATTTATAGTGTTTGTGCCAGTAAATTTTTAATTTTTTTTAATTCTTTTTTTATTTTAGTTCTATTTTACATCGTCTTAAATTCGAAGATAATGTTTTAGTACCGTTTAAGCGAGAGGACTTTAAATGATTTTGGAGAGTGACTTTGCTAGATCTGTCAAATACACAAATGTAGTAGTCAAATGCAAAAACACAAGAAGTCTGGCTTAACTTGTAGCTTACCGTATACTAGTATTTACATCGGTTTTGATTGATAATGATTATAACAAATTATCATAATAATAGTAATGATAATAATATAGTATTTCAGTGATAATAAGAATAACAATCATAGTAATAACAATTTTTGCTTTTGTTAATATTCTGGTTTCAAGATAGAATATATCTAGTGATGATATGATTTCAATGATAATACTAATATTTTCAGCAATAATAAGAATAACAATCATAGTAATAACAATTTTTGCTTTTGTTAATATTCTGGTTTCAAGATAGAATATATCTAGTGATGATATGATTTCAATGATAATACTAATATTTTCAGCAATAATAAGAATAACAATCATAGTACTAACAATTTTCAGATTAGTTCATTATTTCGGTTTCAAGATAGAATGCATCTGTTGTGATGTATGTACTAATTATAATGATGATAATCTTTCATTATTAATTTTAGTAATTATAAGAATGACGATAATAGTAAATGGTTTTCGGTTTATTTCATTATTATTTTGGTTTCAAGAGAATGCATCTATTGTGACGTCACTTGTTTTGTTCTTTTTCGTGAAAATATTCTGCAATTTTCGCGCTGTTCTGATTTTTAGGGCTGATAAGCTGTAAAATTCTAATATGTAGATAACGGTGTTTTCCTCCTCAACGAATTCCCATCTCGTCGCCGCTGCCTTGTTTTTTCTTGTGTGTACTCACTTTGTTCCAATTAGTTTAGAGAGCAATGCAAACCAATCAATACTGCAATTTGCACAAACAACTAGTACGTTTGTTTGCCACTTACTCGTCAACTGTTTGAGACATGAGTGATGAAAATAAGTTGTGTCAAAACTAAGGAGAATTGATTAGAAACGAATAGAGGCTATTTTTATTTTAGCTCTCAATGGTCCTGCTCACAAGTTGCATTTTTAGCTAAATATTGAAGAGCAATGAACCTGTCTCAAGTCTTATTTCAATTTTAAATAAATGTATAAAAGGGTAAATATCATATTATAAGTTTGTATTGTAGCCAAAATGTAAATAAGCTTCTTAAATATATCAGTTATCGAAATTTCAAAGAGAAGGGGCGAATATTTTTCATCTCGTTGTGCATTGTTTTGGATATGAGAGGAAGAGGTTCAAGAAAAGCGCAAAAAATGTGGTTGTTTACCTGATCGTGATTTATTATATTTACTATTTACATATGTTTACGCATTTTCATTCCTCTTGCGGTATCATTTTTCTCGGGAGTTCAGAAACCCTTGAATCTATGACAAATAATGAGATGGGGCGTTTTGGGGAAATCCCTGCGCTGAATCTTGTTTCATGATCTTTTTTTGCTCTTGTCAAATGAAGAAGAACTGCAAAAATAAATAAATAATTGCCATTGAAATTGCTTGCATGAAGCTCCGTTTTTATTTGTATAGCACTCGCATTTATGCAGAAGCCTCTCTGTGAAATGGCGTCGTTCTTAAAAAAGGAGGTTAACTAAAAAATCAAAAACACACCATTTCAAAATTCAGTAGATTAAATTCGCAGCGCAACATTCCAAGTGCGGTATCCTTGTCGAAAGGGGTTTGTCCGAGAGAAGTGTTGAGCGGGTTCCACCTATGAGAACTCATGTTTGCTAATTGACGTTCGTCGCAAATGCGCAGTGGTATGATGTTCGACTGTGATTGGTTATGGGAGGCATGCACCAATCACGCGCACTTCTTTGCGTTCACCCAGTTGACAGACTGAAATAAATAGGCGCGCTACTATTAGACAAGATTAATATTCAGTCTACCTTACACTGCGCTCCGAATGTGGATCGCTGGCTCGCACGGCCTTGTAATGGATGGTTTCATTTCGGTGTATCTTGAGAAATAGCGATGTAAGCAAGAAAAGGAGGTCGCTACGAATTGGTTGCGAAACAATTATGTTCAAGTATTTTCCCCCGGCTAATGTAGGCCAACTGCGGTTAAGCGCCACACCAGAGATAGTCTTAGGGTCAAAATTGCGTTGGACACTTGATCTAACGACTCCCCTCTAAGCGTGGGCTATATTATTCTAGTTGACTCATAATATCGTCAATGAAGTTAAAGCGATCCATAAAGACCAGTAAGTTAGCCCTCAGTGCTAACTGGTATCATTTGTGCTATCAACTCTCGTTTTGCTTAGTGTTCAAATTAAAACTTCAATTATATGTTTAATTTAGTTTTTTATTTTATTAACCCATGAGTATATAATTAATAAGTATAATTTCTGGTTTTCTCCTGGTATTTTTATTTTTCTCAAGATGGCAAGGGTAAGAAAGGGTAAAGAATGGAGTGTTGACTAAACTTTTTTGGGATGCGCTGCGCAACCAACTTCCATTCAAAAGCGTAGTGACTGTGAGTAAGTTTGGTGCCCATTAACAGACTCCGGAGGGATGGAAGGTTTGGTTGGCCCGGACCAAGGATTTGATCTCGCTGGCCGCGCGCATGGTAAGCTGCCACTTACGCAAGCACTGCCACTGTACCACGCATTACTTTCGCTCCTCTCAAGATACGCAGTTGATTTTTATTTTGTTTTTGTTACTTTATTCAAATAGTATTTTGTATTAGATGAGTGATTTTGAAAGCTCTTGTGATTACTATTTAATGGTGAGCTTCCACTATTATAAGACCTTGAATTGCAACAATACAGTATCGTATAAGGCTTTCAGATGCGAGCGCATCACATACAGCATCCACCATGAAGCGCATAGAAATAGCGCTTTATCCAAAATAGTGTTCTATCAATTAATAAGAGAATAGCAGATATTAATCCTGATTTATTGATGATAAAGTAATCTTCTTATTCAGTACCGAATGTTTGCTGTTGTTTGGACCGTTCTCTGCGCCCAGGTTTTTCGGAATTATCGAAATTTTTGTGAGGCCATGCCCCTTTTTGCGTGGTTTAAAGCCTGTTGAGTTCGCCATTCATTTTCGAAATTGAATAAAGTAAATAAATACTAACGAAGATGAATTTTGGCATTTAGCTTTTTATCTTCCAATATTTTATATTTTAATATAAAGTGTACTGAACTCATGATTCGTGAAAACCATACAGTGTCCAAGTTCACTATCAAACTTATTGGTAGCATACCTACTAATTTTGAATTTTTTATTTTGTATTGCATTTCTCACTGAGTACTAGGATTTTTTTAAATAATTTCTTCAGTGAAAATTTCTAAATATTAAAGCAAAATCCACAACTTTCCTTAAATTAATGATGACCAGAAATGGCAACTTTTTCCGGTTTCATAGCGAAAATGATTTTCAATTCAGACCACAACGTAAATCTGACGGCTCCTTCAATTATTCTCCTGATATTTACTGTGACAAATACGATGAAAATACCGGCATTTGTCCTGATGGTGACGAGTGAGTAATATTCTCAGTTTACATTCCCCTCACTATTTACACTACTTCTTCTTTTACTATTAAGTTCATTCGTTTCCGGCGTTAAATGTAATAAGGTATTTAACGCCTTATATTACATTTAATGAAGTAATGTCACTTCCCATTCAGATGCGTGTATCTCCATCGAGTTTCCGGCGATGTGGAACGAAAATATCATTTACGTTATTACAAGACTGCCCAATGTGTACATCCAACGGACTCGCGTGGACAATGTGTTAAGGTGCTTCAACAGCTGTGTAGAGGAAGGGATGAAAAGGGATAAAAATGAAAAATAACGGACAAAAAACAGGCTCTTCCTCACGTCGCGTATTTTTGTCTTCTTGAAAACCGGCTCTATTAAAAGAGAGGGGATGCGGTTTTTTACTGGTCATCTTCACGTTCGCATTTAGCCTTGAACCGAATTCGCTCGATGTCTTTTTGTCTCGCTCTTTCTAGCACTCGCTCGCACTCATATTGCATGTGTTGGCAGACATACGAGAGCGAGCTGGTGTCGGATGCGAAAACAACCACCTGCAAAGAACATTGCACTTGAGGGGTAGCCAGCCAACTCGCCGTCGCTAGCGGGTGGGAAGAATGTAATGAACAGCACGGCACAGGGGAAGGAACACTGGACCGAGTTTCATATTAACTACATATGTTGATTTCAGAATGGAGCTCATTGCGCATTCGCACACTCTTCCGCTGATTTGCGACAACCACAAGTATGTCAATGATTACCAGTTATTCATAAGAACACAACAAAATAGTAGGGTTTAGTTCGATCAGCATGAGGCCGGTTTCTCGACGACCGTCGACGGTGACGGGCGTGATCGGACCAGCTTCGTGATCGAGGACCCGTTATGGCATAGTGAGTGCCCGGTTTCAATTTACGATTATTTTTGTTTTCTCGTTTCGTTGATTTATCTGATTTTCACACTGCTGAAGAGGATTCGGTCGTTTTTTCAAGTATCGATCGATTATCTTCAATTGACCTTGAAAATTAAAGGATTCCCTAGCCTCTCTTCGTGTACTGCTCCATGCCTCACTCCAAAACCTTGCTCTTAAAGGTCTCTTGGGCACTAGAGCTCTTATATTCTCTGTTCTCTAGCCGAATATGAACATAATGAACCCATCTTTGTTATCGTTCTTGTACAGCCTTCTTTCAAGAAAACAAAGACCTACATATAGGCAACATAAAATTGGTGTTTTATCTTCCCTACGTGACCTTTTTGTTTTTGATAGCATTTTTTTCTCTTCTCGAAAATTTCGATTTTACTCCTACAAGCAGTTCTATAAGCATTTCCTCTATAAGCAGAGTTTAAGCTGTTCATAGCTGCCATCATTCATATTCCACACTGCGGCTTGTTCTGCAACCAGCCTTGCGGCCGAACTCGTGGTGCCTCATCCACGAGATTAAGGTTAGGCCAGGATATTTAGCCACGGTGATGGGCAGGCATCGTTGGATCTGCTTAGAGATCCTGCAAACTTCAATCGGCAATGTATTAGGGTGGAGTAGGGTTAACGTTTGGCGTTCCCTGTGCGTATGTATAGGGTAGGTAAGTCTGAGGAAGAAGCGAAACGAACCATTTTTATTATTCCGTTTATAAAAGTTTTTTCTTTCTTAATTGATGCCCACTTGTTCGAATAGAGCGACCGGACCCTGGTTAGAGTTCAGCTTGGGCTTCAGATGTAATAGAGTAAAATTTATTGTGGTTGGTACGATGTAGATCTGACTATTTCTTTTTGTCGCAGGATTTGTGTAATTCGCTATTTATTACCGTTCGCGTTCGCTTTTTATCTATTCTCCTGTACTTAGACCTGCATATTTTTTTGTTTATTCTCTCTCGCTCTTCTTTGTTTGATTGCGCATAAGTGCTGAAGGAGTGAAAGCTGGTTTCCTAGCCCTCCAATTTTTTTTTCAAAACAAACTTGCTAGTCAATTTTCCTGCTTTTTTACTTCTCAACTATTTTCTGTTTTTTTTTTTAAGAAAGAAGGAAGGAGATGAGGGAAACATATTGACAAGAAAAAGGACAGGAGTAAGGAAAAGCAAAAGGTGTGTGTTTGAGAACATTATCGCTTGCATACTCTGTGAGACCATGGGCTGTATGCTATACTCCCCGAAGGGGTTAGGGGACAAAAATAAATTTTCTCTGTCTTCCCAACTGGGGAATTGCCGACAATGAGCCTAATTAATGTATGTATGTAGGAAAGTAAACATGCACTGAAAATGAAGAAACTATATCGTTCAAAATCAAATAAATTTAAAGGAAGCTTTGGATCACCTAGCTTCGGGGAAGGATAGCATACGGCCCGAGATACGCCGTGGTGGGAAGGGGGGGGGGTATGTCGCAACGGCTCAAAATTTTTCTCAACGGCATGGCGTACTAAGCATATGTAAAACATCGCTGGGTGTTCCGGTTATGTAGGGTTCCTTCGAGACGGGCTTCGATCCATGTAGGTAGCTTTTGTGTGAGAATAAGGTGTCTCCTTGTTGAACAATTTATTATTTAAAAAAATCGCGAAAAATATTGAAAGCGCTAGTAGCTGTTGTCAAGGGAACTGAGTTTACGTTTTCGACCACTCCAAAGAACAATCACTGCCAGTTTTTTCATGAAATGTCCTTGCACTATGCAGGCTGTTCACGCGATGAACCCAATTTTTAAACACGTGCCACATCTGAAATGGCCCGCCAAAATGTCCAGACAGAACGCCCTTCTCCGTCCTCGGTTCTTTTGTTCGTTTTTGACTGCCGCTTCAGCAATAAACACTTTGTGTGGGTGTCGCGTTTTTTTTTCATTCGGGGCATCTCATCGGCCAATGTTGCCCGTGTCAGTGCACGCCACCGCAGGCACCATCGACCATCGGTTATCGACCATCGGCGCTACATTGTGCATGTAAATCGCAACGCGACCAGCGATGTATGGCGAATTGATCGCGCCGCGGCGATTGTGAAGCTACGACGGCGGCCGGCGACTGGCCGACTGGCACGCATGGGAGTAGCGCGAGGCATGGCGCTGCTGACGGCCGCCGTTGCCGCCGTTGTCGAACCAAAGTGCACGCTAGCTCTCCAAAACATTGCATCGGAAACGTGACTCAACAACATTGACTGGTATTTGTATGTTGACTCGTGATACTTGGGGGCATTATTCTTCACCGCCTCCGCCCAGCCCTCGAGCGTGCAGCTCGACTGACTGACTGACAACGAGCAGGTCATAAACGATTGTTGATTGTCGTGTGTGTACGACAAGAATGACACGGCGACGTCGATATCGACTCGACACGAAGGCGTTCTTTAGCGAATGAGGATGAGGGAGAGGGACCAGAATCCTGGAAAGGGCACGGCGCTGCTTCATTGGTTTCTTATCAAAATGGCACAGCATTACCTCAATATCGTTCTCAGTACAACAGCGAATGTGAACTATTTTCGAAATGAATAAAAACAACAATGCTCCGGTACATAATTGGCGTACTCGGCCACGTGACCGTGACTGATGTGGCATGTGCGCCATCTTGGGCATCGCTCATCATAATTACATGAAAATGTGTTGGGAAATGTGTTTCCTTTTCGTTGCCCTATTCATCCTGTTCTTTTCATAACAGATTAACGAATGTAACATATGGCGGCGGAACGTCAGCGATGATGAAGACGCTCCATTTTTCACCGATATGGGGACAGCCTCAATATTGAAAGCGGGTATTATGATAGTGGATTATTCTGGATAATGGAATGACTACCCCGGGATTCAAAAAATAACGAATATGATGAAGTTCACGGTTTTATGTACGACAGCCCTCCTCACTACTCCACCACCCTCACCATTATCGCTGTTCCTATAGTACCTATAGTATTTGATTCTGAGACCAGTCGACACACCCATCTCCGCTTTTCCGCTCTCCCTCCAATTCGTTCTCCAAAAATTCTCTCGAGTGGGGGGAAAGGGGTTCATTGGGGTCGAAGCGGCGAATCCACCCCTTCCTAGTCACCCTACTTTCATGACTTTTGCGAAAATTGTCAAAAAAAACCGTCGAATACGACCCCTTTTGCGACCCCGATTCACACATTTCCTAGGGGTGATTCAGCTTGCTCAAACCCAAATGCGACCCCTTCCCAAAATCACAAATGTGACCACCTCGTTCGAGTAGTGCGAACGGACGGTTGGCCCTGCTTTCAACTAGCACGAAAGCGAAGGGCCTCGGAGTGACCTGCGGTCTAAAGTGATGTTGAAATCTTGACCTATTTACCTCTCGGTACAAAGACTGGTTCGATTCAAAATATGGGATCACCTTAGCGGGATACGATCAGGGAACTAGGATACGGCCCCCGGAGCTACATACACATCATAGGTTCATCCGCTTTTATTTAGGCATTATAGTACTAATCTTTTTGCGGTGATTAACAAATCCTTGAAATATTATATTTAAGTTGAAAATGCCTTCAAATGGATGAGACTTTCCAAAGCTCTCGTAAACAACTCAGTGTCAGAAAATTTTATGGCATGGAAATTGAAGGTCATCTGCCAGTGACTGTCAGCAAATTTACCGTCGAGTTGCAAAGTTTAAATCCGTCTTTACAGGTCAAGATCATGTGCTGTCCTGCTACAAAACCGAACAATGCCGTAAACCGGCTCGACTTTGTCGCCAAGGTTATGCCTGCCCGTTCTACCATAACTCAAAAGATCGCCGACGACCTCCTGCCATATGCAAATACAGGTAAGTTTATTGTTCCTTTATAATTATTGTTAAATCTTAGTTCTTTCAAATTTTCAGGTCTACCCCCTGCCCTGCCGCAAAAACCGTCGACGAGTGGCTTGATCCGGAACTCTGTGAGGCTGGAGACTCATGTCAGTACTGCCACACTCGAACCGAACAGCAGTTCCATCCGGAAATCTATAAGAGCACGAAATGCAACGACATGCTTGAGGTAGGGAACTGCATTTTAATGACGTCATTGAAAATCACAGAACAGAACCAATCTAGTTTCTGTTTGCAGACGGCTGCAACGTTGAGTCTGCAGCGCTTTTATAAAAACCCATTACTCGAATGAGGAAGTGCGTAGCGCGGTTTATGTAGTCAGGGCTGTTCGGTGTGGTCATACAAACGCAACCATATTGAATGTCTTCTTCTCGTCGCGCAGTTACAAAAATGCTCAACAGGGAGGTGATTCATCTGAGTAAACGGCGTGAACTTTGATAATGGTTAGAGACAGCGAACATACTTTTCATTTGGTGATGGCCTACTTCATAGATTGAACGTAGCAGTAGCAGCACCTATATCGAGTTTGAAACCGAATTGAAAAAGGAAACGGATGGAGCTCAAAAAAGAAATAGAGTATGGGTTTTGAAATAAGAATTTTTTATTTTCTCCAAATATTTCAACTTTTCCGGGCGTTCGTACTGCTTCCATTACTTCGACTGCTTAAGTTTGTTCACCTTACTATTAGAGAGCAACGCTATTTTTTCGGTAGCGGTAGCCACCCCGTTCAGGTTATCGCGGTGACGTTTCTATTGTAGATCAAATTTACCGTACCGCAATTGCAATCGCGTAACGTGCACCCATGATTGCTTGAATATCTACTGTAACCAATCATGGACGGCCCTCGCAGTCTTCAGATGTCAAAGTGATTTGATACTACTTTCAGACAGTAGTGACACATACTGTTTACTCACCCTCTCCCCCCCCCCCACCAGAGTCAACCCTGCGTTGCGCAGTTTTCAACGGCCACGTTGCGCAGTTTCGCCCGATTAGACACGTTCTCTCGCGCGAACATTCACACTCGCATGCTCGAGCCGTCTGCGTCTCCGCCCATACAGCGTGCGTTGAGGATCTCTCAACGTGCCGTTGCGAACTGCGCAACGCAGGGTTGACTCTGGCCCCACCCACCTATCTATATTCTCTTCAAGGTCGATACGGTCTCCAGTTGGGGTCCCACGATCCACTTTTGTGTCCTGTGTATGCCGTCATTCTTTCAAACCACCTGATTTTTTTTTTTAAATTTGTCGCGAAAACACGGGAGTCAGTGTTACGCAACATATATAAAACATACAGAAGTTTGTAAACTCTCTAATCTCAATGATTAGTACCCTGAATTTTTCTTGGGAAATAATGTCTAAGTAATCCTGTTCCCATTTAACTCTATCCTTCACCACCTATCCGAAAATGTGTATGCTGCCATTCCAGCCGATTCGACTCCCTTCCCAGATAACGAAATACCTCCTGCATTCCCGAGGGTGCAGATCAACACGCTATTCGCATCGACGTGTAGGCCCCTGGCGATGTAGCAGTGGCCTTTCTTTCGGCGCAGTTGGTCGGAACGCCCACCGACTATCTAATCACTCGCCGCAGGTCTATACGTGGCGAGTGATTAGATAGCAGAGAGAGCGTAGCGTTGAAGAGGGCACAGCGATGAGAGTCGCATCAATGCGCAAATCAACGGGCAAGGAAGGGGTCCCATTTCTCGGGTTCTGGGCCGTTTTCATGGTTCTTTCTTCATTCAGTGAACCTCTACCCTTATTTTCAATGAGCCATATTTGATCGTAAAATCTGCCTTTAACAAGTTCACAAGCGACAATGGTCTGTCTCCAGCAATTTGGGAGTTTTGAGAAGGGGTCAAAGCTTGTGCCGCGGAGTCCGTGGGGGGGACCGTATCTGATCCATTACATGGGGAGAAGGTCATAAGTGCAGTAATCGTCACTGAACAGAGCAATGACACACAATTGCAGTAAAACACTCATTCTAGATGAGGTAGGAACCCGGGTTCAGCAAAGGGAGAACGCTGAAGCCATCGCATTTATGTATGTGATTGCCGTAGAGCGCGATATCCTCAGCAGGGTCGTCGCAAAATGGATAAACCACCAATGAAGTCAAATTAGTTTGAATAGAAATCACTGAACTTTTAGACTACCACCTGACTTTTGTAGGACTGGAAGTGCATAGCCTATTCTCCACAAATCATTTTGTGACATAATATTAATAAAGGGGAACTGTATGTTTCGAATTTGTTGCCGTTTTTGCCTGAAATTGTATGAGAAAGAATTGACGTTTGTTGAAAGTGCAACGATTCCGCCTAAGTGAACTCCTTTGCGCTAATTTTGCAGAAAAATGCAGCGGGGCTGTTTCTGTTGAAGCTTCACCATGGAGTTTCAACAACCCTTCAAAAACCCAAGCCTTCTAATTTGCAGCACACATTTTTTTTCTGATTCTTTATCTTTTGAGGGAGCTAGAACTCATAATTTTGCAAAAACTCACATGTTCCAAAATTTCTCCTAATCAGTTTTAAGAGAGTTCGTTTTCCTCATTTAGCTAAAAACTCTCCAAAAAGTTCCCATCATGGAGCTTGACAAATTCATGTTCCGAGTTTACGTGGTCCACTTTTGAGAAGATTATAGCGGTTGTTGATAGGTACGATTTTATCGCATGCTTCAGCAGTGTTGCACTTCAATCCGCCCCAACGTCCATATCGCCGCAGTCCTCGCATTTCTTCGTTTACTCTCTCTTCGCACAGAATCAGGTGGCATAACGAACGACGTTGGCAGGAGGCAGGGATCGTATTTAGGTGTTCTTCGCGAAGCTTGGCAAACCGTTGAACCTATATCCGACCACTTCTTGCCAAGTTGTTCTGTTTTTTCTGCAACATGACAGGAGTTAAAAATTGGGTAGCCCCATCTCATTGCACAGTCATTGCAGAAATCAGCTGTCCATAGTATCATCGCTATGCTTCCAACATGAAAACGAAACAGTGAAATCCTCCTATTTTCTAGCTCTGCGCAGCCAGTCAATGCGAAGGAATTTCAGGAGGGACTTGGAATCTGTCGAATGGGCACTTATTCTCCCCCCTCCCCGTAGTCCTGTTCTCGCACCAACGGGCGGCCATCTGCTTCTCTATATTGCTCATTTCTGGAGAAGAAACCCAACTGTAACTATCATGTTCTCGAAATACATCCAACCTTCCTTTGACTAGGCGTTATTGGATTCTACAGGAAATGCTGAAGCTGCCAACGCATTGGCAATATGTTGCTAATAATGGTGACGCATTCTGTGTTGGATGATCATACAGCAGACATTTGTAAAATAGTGATAAATTGGGAAAATATTTAGGATGGCTCAAAAATTATGTGAAAGCCCATATTAAACAGGATGTGATGCGTAACTGCGAAGTGCTTCTTCTGAGGAAGCTGGAGGATTTATGAATTGGTATTAAATGTTATTTTATCAAATCTTTTCTTGTTCAGCATGGATACTGCCCTCGAGCCGTATTTTGTGCCTTTGCACATCACGACTCGGAACTTCATGTTCAGCGAACACCATATGTGACAAGTAGCCAAGCCAGTCCAAAAGAGCAATGCAGTCCAAACACGAATGGAGGTATTTCCCTTCTCCATTTCTCACAAATTAAACGGTTCACCTGTTCAAC